TCTCTCCTGTTGGTGTTTTTTTAATTTCCCTTTGCGTTTCCAGGGGCACAGGGGATGCAGGCACTGATGCAAGTTGCGCGGGACTTATTGCCATTTCTTCCGAACGTGGCGACCCAGATCGTCCCCGAGGTGATGAACCGCTTGTTCGGCAGAATAATGGCTAGATTCATCCGCGATAACTTCCTTGAAACGGCGAGATAGCTCATCTTATTCATTCAAAGGAGGAAATTACCTTTTCACCATTTTCAGTGAGAAGCCCCTGAAGTTTCGTTGAACCTTCGGTGATTGGAAGATTGGGAGAGAGTAGACGCAAGCTCTAGCACACAACCTTTTTCAATGCAAGGCACACAGCACATTGTGGTGGCCTGCAAAGGAGGAGGAGCCTCTACTTCTCTGTCCTGTTACGTGCTGTATGTTCCAGCATTAACCTCTGTCTCAGGCTGGCGAGGACGGTCAATCGTGTCGACAGTCAAATGCCAGCTGAGAAACTCTACTTCAAATGGGTGGTAGGTAATACAGTCCATGCTCACAAGTCACAACTTCGCAGGTGGATCTTCTAATTTGTTCTTCTATTCTCTCTCATTTGTTTCACTTACTCTCTCTGTTTTTTTTTGTTTTTTTTTTGTATCTGATTATTAAATCATTATTTTTATTTAAGACTCTGGTTAGCAGCAGTTTTTGTAAGATAAGTCGACAATCTCAGGATTATTACAACGATTTCACCAAAGGATGTTTTTTAACTTTTTGACAGTTTTTCACAGTTCTTTGAACGCTTTCACCTTTTTTTTCCCTAAAATTTGTAGATGTTTTTGGCGGACTTTTAGTATAACAACAGCATCTTAAGGATGGAAGGAGCATCTTAAGGATGGAAGGAGGAAAGGACCAAAGAGCTGTGTCACGTCGAGTTTTTGGCAAAGCGGAAAGAGAAGGAGAAGGATAGGTGACTGGGGTGGACCTGAACGTGAAGTCATGGCAAGTTGCGGGGCCGTTGAAGGGGGCTGCGCCACGATAAAGAAGGGGGCGGCATGTTATTATAGGGAAAGAGCAAAGCATGTCACAGGTTAATTGAGCGGCAAGGAAATTTCTTTGTCACATCTGAATGTAAAAGTGTCACAGAGTGGGACAAAGGAGGGAAGCATATACTTGTCACACATCGGGTAGGATCGGATCAAATAGGAAAGGACAGTATAGGGTAAGGTGGAAAGCATAGTACAGGGTAGGATATAAAGGGATAGAATAGCATAGAATACAGGGAGAAAGTATGGGATGGGATAGCATACAGGGTAGGGAAAGATAGGATAGGAATAGGATAGAATTCGATAAAGTAGGATACAAAAGGGTAGGACAGGGTAGGATAGGATAGAATACAAGGAGAAAGGATGGGATGGGATAGAATAGGATAGAATACAGGGAGAAAGGATGGGATGGGATAGAATACAAGGAGAAAGGATGGGATGGGATAGAATACGGGGAGAAAGGATTGGATGGGATGAAATTTAGGGTAAGGAAAGACAGGATCAGAATAGGAGAGGAATATGATAGAATAGGGTAGAATACGATAGAAAACGATAAGATAGGATAGGATAGAATAGGGTAGGATATAATAGAATAGGATAGGATAGGATAGGATAGGATAGGAGAAAGAACGGATGGGAGAAAATATAGGGAGAAAGGATTGGATGGGATACAATACAGGGTAGGGAAAGACCAGGATAGGGATAGGATAGAATTGGGTAGAATAAGATGGAATAGGATAGAATGAGATACAGGAAGAAAGGATGGGATGGGAGAGAATACAGGGCAGGGAGAGAGAGGATAAAAGCAGGATAGACTCAGGGATAGACTTAGGATAGACTCTATATAGAATAGGATAGGATCAAGATAGAGTAGGATAGGATCAAGATAGAATCAGGATAAAATAGGAGAGAATACCATGGCACGCCAATAGGCCTTTTCTGGTACCCTTTTCTTTGCCTTTCAAGGAAATTTCTCCTACATTTGTGTGAAGAATGATGAGAAGGAGAGGTGAAGCGGAAACAACTACAGAAAGCGGATGAAGAAAGTTTGGGATCCTACGGTAATTAGCACCATATGACATGAACAATATAGACCTGGCAATATAGATCATATGTGGACACTACCAGATGTTGATATTTCTATGCCTGTATATCCGGAACTGAAATAAATTCCTTAAGTGCTTGACATTCCTTTTGTTCAATGAAAAAAAATGTCCGGATAAATGAAAAATTCAAAAATTCTGACTTTCCAAATTTGTTTGCTGGCATCCCTGTGCATTTGCAACGTTACGACATTCACGTGGGGGAGGGAGGGAGGGAGGGAGGGAGGAAGGGAGAGAGAGAGAGAGAGAGAGAGAGAGAGAGAGAGAGAGAGAGAGAGAGAGAGAGAGAGAGATGCTGATCTCCCGCCCTGTCTTATGCCTTCCCTTCTTCTTCCTCTTCTTCTTCTTCTTCTTCTTTCATTTTTAATGCTTTCTTCCCAAGTGAGATTTCCATTTTGCAATTCCAATTTCTTTTTCTTTTTCTTCTTCTTCTTCTTCTTCTTCTTCTTCTTCTTCTTCTTCTTCTTCTTCTTCTTTTCTTCTTTCACTCCTATGTATGCTCTAGTTTGATCCACGTTGTTCGCATCCCCCTCCTTTTTTTTTTGCATGTTTTCTTTTCCCTTTTTACGAGTCTAAATCATGCAAGCGGGATTATTTCACTTTCTTTATATGGTGAATAGCTACATCGGGTTGATTGCTTGCATCTTGGTGGGATAAGCGAGTCATGGAGTCTCGATGTGGCGATCGTGATTGAGCAAAGTTATCTAGCTGCCATGGCAGATTCTGAGACTTTTGCGAACTTATGCGCATGCGGATGTTAAACATAGGAAAAATAGTTTTCACAAGGGAAGAAAAGGTCCAACATTCCATTGTATGCAGAACATAGCTTAAGCAATTCTCATTCGAGATTCCAACATACAACACATCATAATCAGGAGAAGTGAGCATAAAATAATAGAGAAAAATAATGATTGCCAATATGAAATTCTAACTAGTATTAAATGAAACATTAATAAGGAAAAATCCTTGACAGATGCATCAATTGATTCACAATACAGTTTCTAGAAAAAACATTGTACCCGCTAAGGCCCAAACCATTACATAAGAACTAAACAAATCATTTAAAAATGCAAGATGTCATTATGCGCAAGTTGCCATGTGCAAACGTCAACTGAAAATACCAGAAGAAAAATGCGAGAGCAACTTCTAATTCCATGCATGCACGCACAAGACACCTAGTTGGTTCCTATGCGCCTCGCTTAGGCATGTTCTAAAAGTCTTGATGCAAAGCTGCCAATGTTGGATGCAAATTGCATAGTAAGTAACTTACCCTTTTCGTGCCCAATTTGTACCATTACATTACAAAATTTCAAAAACTACACGAACTCTCTATGGTTCAATATTGAATCCATACAAAATCGGGTGTGGCTTGGATATGAGCTTGTCACACCGTTGCTTCAGTTACCTAGTGATTTCGTATCACTAGAAGTGATGGGTTTTTTGTTAGGGAAAATGTCAACTTGAAGGGTAATATAATGAAAGGTGGAGGCGAATCAAAGAGCCTATATAAGCACGTGAGATGATAGGAGTGCTTCGGTGGTGATGATCGAAACAAAACGCTATTCTAATATGTTGACGTACTACAAATCGTAAAACATGGACATTGTGTATCTTTCTTTCCTATCTGTCCGTTATTCCCCACACATTCATCAAGCCATAGCACTTCATATATTCTTGCAGACTCTATTTCAAATGTGAGGAAGACGTCACAAAAAAAATCATATTGTCGAGTGCATCGGCTCTCGCCTTTTCACAAAAGGCGAGCGTCCTGACAACCATGTCATGTAGGAGTTAAACAAAACAAAATCCAGAGACAACTTGGGGACAACGCATAAATAATCTCACGGGTCGTCGAGACGAACGTGGTTGTGTTTCCACCTCGCAACTCTAGCCGAATGCGTCAGGCGTATTTCCCGCAGCCTTCTATGACAGAATAGGTTTTTGCAGGGCATAACTTGTTTTCCTTAAGGTGTTGTCACTATCTTTAGGGGTGTATCCCTATCGAGCTACTGATCTATGTGCGAGAACTTTTATACGCAATCACATAGGTAAATTAACCAAGAGCGTTTACTCGATTTTGCTGCATTATAGGCATGCGTGGTTAAAACGTCATCTGAACCCGGACGTCGTTCGTTTCCTAGGACGCTGATCTCTTAGGTATGAAACAAAGGATGGTCGACTTGGACGGTCTCAACCATGCACGAAACCCACAACTCAATCATAGTCACTTAGATACATAGCTAAAAAGTAAAAGTCCCTTTACACTTAACTTGAAAACAAAAATCGAAGTTACGATATTCAAACATAATTATATCAAAGTACATTGACCGTAATCAATAAAAAGTACATCCGGTCTAACGTGAGTTAACTCGATAATTGAGCATGAGATGATAAGGTCAATAACAGAAGATAAAAGTTGAACGATTGTAAAGAATACCCACGACTGACAATTCTCCCGCGCTGTTACAATGCTTCACCAAAGGCTAGACAATAGTTTTCTATCTCTTTGATCAACCTTTGTGCGCGCTTTACTTCCCGCGCGCTTGATTACCCTCAATGCCTGAGTATGATAGTATCATCATCGGGGCAACCCGGATACTATCCAGTTGGTTGGTCGTATTTTTTTATTTTTATTTTTAATTACCTTGTCGAGCCAAGAACAACGATTCCAACATAGGGACAATCTGACGTGGGCAGCCTCGTTAGGAAACAAATTCGCTAGGGGCATCGGTGTTGATCTACGACCTAACAGACATGACAGCAAAAAAAAAAAAAAAAAAAAAAAACTTCTTTTTAGGAGCAGGGACGGGGGTTGCTTTCTTTTGCTTTTCAGTAGTTTTTTTTTGCCGCGGGTCGCGGACCAAGTGCCACGTACACATTTGTTTCCACTCCCGTTAGAACACGATGGGAAGACCTACGAACTTGGAAAGTAGTGGGATCCCATAAAATTGAGAAGACTACGTTCAGTAGGAGTAGTCGGTTCAGACCCTAAAATTGGAAAGTAGTCGGATCAGACCCTAAGACTCCCTTAGCCCCTGGAAAACCAATTTATACTCCCCTTCCACCCGCTTGACAGCCAATAATGAGAAAGGAGGCTGGACTTGAGCTCCTCTGAGGATGTGCAGAAGATCCCGGGCCCACCCCAAAAAAAAGAAAGAAAAGGAGACTGATTTTTTACTTTACGGGGGGGTGACCCCCGGGCGACTTGTCGGGATTCACGACCATGCTGCACAGTCGGGCAAGCCAAGTAGCCTAGTGATGTACATGAAATGTAGACAGGTATCATGAACCAATAGGCCTAGCTCAAGTGGCAGACCCATGAACCGTCGAAATATAGACGCTTCCTCGAGTCCTACCAACTAAGATAGATGAGTAAATAACTCCACCAGTATCTCGCTCAACCACCTTTTTTCTTGATGCGGCCATTAACGAGCTGCAAGTTTTGCGGGTCGGTCTACTAGTGCGAAATGGTTGGCGACACCAGCCAAAAGGCCAGTTCGTTTTTTTTTAAGTGTGTAGGGCATTTCCAAGCTCTATAAGGGAAGTGTCCAATGTATTGGTGGTTTAAGCCACCAGTACCTTTTCCCACTTGAAAATCCGGCCACGACAGTTAACATGGAGGCCCTATTCGGCCTTAGGCGCCGACCAGGTACATTGGTCACCCTTGGCACGCAGTGCCCGCAGCCGATGTACGAGAAACGTACTGGCGGTTTAACTATGAGCTTACATGGGCTGCTCAATTCGAAGATGATATCCAAAGGTCATTGCCCTTTTCTTTTGTGGGGGCGGGGAGTAGAAAATTTGATTATCATAACAGCAAGACTCCAAGTCGGGAATCCTCATAAACAACTTGGGGGTGACCAACATACTGGGACCATTACCCAACTTCGGTTTTATAACCAATCGGCTACTGGTACTAAGCATACCAATCAATTTTCTCAGTCGAACCCTCTACTTTTCATGGTCTACCTACCTATCCAACCTACCTAACAACTCCAAAGAACCCTCTGCTTTTCATGGTCTACCTACCTATCCAACCTACCTAACAACTCCAAAGACTAACTTACGTATGTGTTCCTTTTTTTCTTTTCGTTTTTGAGAAAACCAGGATGGCCGCAACGACCAGAGGAACGCAGGGAGCAAATGATAAGGGAACACTTTTGGGTGGAATTCCGACATATCCGATTGGAATCCAAGCAGCCTTCTTTCAGGACTTTGCCGAAAGGTATGATGTGGTCGACTTCATCGATTCGCTACCCCCCCGTGTGGCCCGGAGAGACGACTACTTAATGTTAGCTAATAACCTCGTAGATGAACATATATTTTCAATCGACGACGTTATCCCCTTTTTATGTGGGGGGGAAATCATACCGTATCCACACAGCCCATAAGCACAGACCCTGGTGCTTCAAATGTCAAGCTTATGGACACCTGTATTCTGGTACGGCCTGCGCCCGTCACCCCTCACGCACAACAAAACCCACAGGGCGACTAAGAAAGGATCCCTTTGAGGAATCCAGGTGGCGGACGGTGGACCCAGGATATGAGGGGTGGGTCTACATCGACAAACCATGTGTAAAGGAAGGGAATCTAGTTGGTTGGTCATGGGAAGGGCAGGGCGACCCACGGCCGGGATCCCAACCACCAGCAACATGGATCCCCCCCAAATCCCTAGAGATACATTTAAAATGCCTCCCCACAAAGACCAAAAAGCAGGAATCCTGGGAAATCGTCGGGAGCAAAAAGAAGGAAGGTCCACTGAAGAAACCGATGGAAACAGACAAAGAGGTTGGTGACAAAGGCAACCGCTTTGCCTGCTTAGAAAATGGGACAGACAAGTCGAAACAGGAACACCAGAATGAGCATCCGTTAGAGCAAGGTCTGAGTGTGAGGGAGGAATGGGTCCCCGGGGAAAAATGAGTCCAAGACCGAAATGCGGTTCCGGTAGAAAAAAAACAGGCAGCTAGGGGCAGCGCACACAGCACAGGCAGGATGAGTTGGCACTAGGGATCCCCGAAACTGGCACGACACAAGATCCAGGGGAAAGGGAAACAAAAGTATCCCAGGGGCAGCACACACAG